TATCATAAGGCATTTTGATATGAAGATTCGGCATATTACTTTTTCGTTTTGGCATTTGAGCCATTTTCTTTTATAAAAACATTGGGAAATAGTAGTGCCCCATATTAAGGACCACAGAGACCCGGTATCATACTGTTCGTTAAAAAAAAAATTGAAAAAAAAAAAATTTGCACCGATATTAGGCCTACATATCGTGTTTCAACAATACCGGTCCCTGTGATTAGGACGTTAGGACCTGTTGGGTACAAATGTTTATTCGAATTATTTGAAGGTCGATCATACTTTAAGAGGCATTTCTTTTGCTTTTTGCAATGGTTTATTGCTGTAAAATCACATGCTGAATGTAGGACAAGTTTGGAAAAGAACACTGCTCTCATCGTAGCATTTTTAATTATTATTCATTAGCCCATGTCTTGAATATAGGAATCTAGGTGATTTTTTAAGGTAAGCCAATCAGTAATAGTGTCGAAATTTTAGCCTTCAAATCCATGTGTATCCATACTTATTGAAATTTTGAAAATTAAAAAGACGAGTCGTGTTTTCTTGAGACCCTGTGATATATAGAAAACTGATAACAAAACAGTTGCAATTGGTGGTCGAAGAAGATGGAGGGCACATTGAACACATGTTGAAATAGGGAGGTTGCCTTGATATTGTATTTTTTGACATGCTATTTTGTTCGGGGCAGTACTTGTACATTTTTTATTGGATGACTGTCATATTTTCAGGATTGGACAACCATATCTTGAAGTATGTCAGATTGTCTTTGCGAATTTTGAAAAAGATCAGTTTACCAACAGCTGAGATACTACCGTCGAACTTTGGGACGTTTTTTATCTGAGACATCCGATATATATATTCAAAATACAATGTATATAAAAAACTATCTGATGATTGTCATCTATTTTCAAAAGCAATATTCTTCATGTCTACTCATGTAGGTCTGGAGAAATGTAAGAAGAAATGTAGCGAGATGAATGAATGTATAACGATGGTTTATAGACACGAAATGTTCGAAAAGGGATCTTATTTATTCAACATCATCCTGAACGAGATAGATTATTACTCGAAAACGACTGAAAAAAATAACGCATTCTCTCAAACCGTATTCTCTCAAAACGTATTCTCTCAAACCGTAGCAGAGAAAACATGTTTATTAAGGCATTTCTATCATGATTAAATGAAATGAATGGAGTTTTACGTCCTACTTTTCTGCACCATGTGGGCTAATGAAGATGGGCAACACCATGCAGGGTACAATGAGAAAAAAATTAGTGGCATTAGCCTGCTCTTTTTCGATTTCCAACTGTGGAGGGATCTTTAACGTGCACAGCCTGTAGTACACGCGGCCTAGGTTTATTGTCTCATCCGAACTACTAGTCGCCTTTTCCATGTCAGTCCCTCTTACTTGCATCACTGACAGGGAGAAACCGGGTTGAAAAATCAGAAGGTATTATCTAGATCTCTGCCGGGATTGAACTCTAGAACTTCAGGTTAGCGAATGAGTGTCGAACTCATTGAGCCACCACGACTCCCATACCAACACCAATCCTTTTATACGTTAGTGCAATTTGATATGAAATTGCAATATGGTACCGAAGTGGGTGATCACATTAACAGCTAAAAAGTGGTTTTGTTTACGTCAGGAGCCCCGATGTCTACAACAGACACCCCAAGATTTGAAGTAAATAAAACCGTGTAACATTAAAGGTCATAGAAAGCTATTTTGGGGGGTTGACTTGGTTCTTTAATATATGTAGATAGTCTTCAGAAGTACTAGAACTGCACGAAAATTGCACAACACCAAGCAACTAGCCTAGAAAGACTAGGATAATGTCAACCAAAATGTCTAAATCCAGATCCACACTACCACCATTGCTTGTCTAGAAACAATCTCATTTAGAGTTGATTGCGACAGTTGGTCATTGAAGTAAGGTCGTTTTCACCTTGAGCAATGATACTGATTGCCACTTCCGGCTGTTTAAAACAACCCAATCCTCATGTAAAAGCCAGTCAAAAAATAGTGCTTAAAGATGGGTTCCCTTATTTTCATTTATGAAAATAAAAATGCTAATACTTATATGAATAGCAAGTAGAAGTGTTCTAAAATACCAGTTTGTCTCACATGTCCATAATAAGTAATTCATAATGAGCTAAATTAGAAGAGAATTACCAGCAGAATCCCAATGAGTGACCGATCAAGAAAGGTCAAACAGTCTTTTTTGTCTATCCAGATTAGTTAAAAGTCTTAATTATATGCAATAAGAACATAATGATATGATTAAGAATACATGGTAATTCATTAACATCAGTTAATAAAATAGTTTGGTTAATTTGACACTAAAAAATAAGGAGATCCATCTTTAAGATTTGAAAGGTCATACACGGTTTTCACTAAAATCTAAACTATTGAGCCCCCAAATGTTGGATCACTGCGGTGCTGATATAACGTTGTTATTATTGTTATTAATCTATTTCTCGAAAAACATGCTTTCGGGACTGCGAGGTGGGGCCATGGCATGGTCTGTTCCGTGCCCGTTGCGATGGTGATGTTTGGTGTTGTTATTATTTTACAGCAGTACAATCAATGATTCACCATCACAATATCAAGTTATTACGAACTTCGTCTTTATAATAGCTTGATATTGTGAAGATACAGATAGGTTATAACTATTGCTATAAAAGAATGTACACCAAGAGTCATCTTTATAATATCAAGCTGGTTGTACATCAAATAGCAAATACAGCTAAACAGAGCCCTCCAAATAAAGACAGAAAATAATGTGTAATCGGAGCTATGATTGGATGTATTTGCTAGCTTGTAATCTGATCATATCACTGCATTTACAAACTTCTATGATACAAAAAGTGACCATTGCAGTCAAGGTATAACACAGTGTTAGTAATAGCTTGACACTGTAAAGATGTTCAATGAACAGCAATAGTCTGTCCTGCTTTTTGGATAAGGTGTAAAGGGAGATAACTTCTATTTCTCGGTATCTGAACGGTGGTAGTGGCCCTCTCTGGCGTTGAACAAAACAATGTTTAATTTTTAAACGCACAACATTACTATGCATTCTTCCCTCTTTCGTGAATTGGGGACACAGGTATTTTTCAAATTTTGATTTAATTTTTGTTTCTTAACCAAACCTCCCCACAAGAAAAGGAAACAAAATGATTGAGGTAATGGCAAACGTTACCGTAAACGTGAGTTAGGGCCATAAAACCCGAAACATATTGAAATGATACGCCACATGATGCTAATATGGAAAAGATTGGATTACGCCCATTAAGTGACTCAGCTTAGAGTAAAGGTATTTAACGGTAATGATATATTATTACAAATTTAAAGGAGAATAGGTCAGAATAGAAAGATATACAAAGAGAAACAATCTATATTATGGCAGGAGCTTGTCAACAAAGAACATTTATTTTATAAAAAAATAAAAAAACCAACATTCTTTCTGTGATTTCTTTTACCAATGACTACTAATCTTGCCGATAAGAACCAATGAAAAATACATTGTCAAATGACCTTATTTAAAACTGTGGCAATTTGAGTTGGAATCATTAACTTCCTAAAATTAAGGTAGCAATAATGCCAATCTTTTACGGAATATTGTGAAGATGACCATGGACTATTGGTAAATCCGACCCTTAAGTAACAGAATGAGTACCTTGGTGTTAGGAGGTTTTCTAGCCTTGTCTTAGATAATCGGGGCCAATTTTGTAAACCTTCTGATGACATAAATAGGATAGAGTTTATGTTCCATTGTACACTGCGTGGTGTTGTATCTTTCACTAGCCCAATCATTATAAGAATAGTACGACGGGAATCTCCAATTTATGTTACATGTAAATCATGTTTTGTTAGCCTTTGAAAGAAATGTCGTCTAAATTTCTGTGTTATATTCAAACAGTATGCATCACCTCACAACAACAAAGGACCCTTTACAAACCTTTTACATTTCTCATAAATCATGTATCTACAGGTATATCTCTATTATTTAGACCAGGAAGCTCTGAATAGAACGCGATTTTATCTCTCTTTAAAGATATTTGTGAAATTTATTATAAGGTAT